TGATATTAACCGCTTGTCCCAATAATATTAAATCTGCCTTTATGGTGTTTGAGAAAGTGTCCTAATCCATGGAAGCAATATAAATTTCAGGATAATTGCATAATTTACAATAGCATGAGAAATGGCAAAGACAAGGCTGCTGCTAGCAATGGGGAAAAGTCAAAACTTGTTTTGTTCACCATTTCAATCTTTGCAAATAAAATAATTATATATGCTTTAAGAATTTAGCTATATATAACCAGGACATGCAGTTGGTTTTAAATTTTGTCCAACTCGTATATCAATTTTATAAATTGTAGATGAAAATATATCTAACAATTCAAATGCGGTATATATTTTGTGCAGTATTTACGAAAGATAAGCTCTCATATATCGTTAATCCATGCAAAAACATGCAGACTAGAATTTATCAACAACAAACAACATATAAACCATTAAACTTACTGTTGTGTACTCAATATTGCCAGCTTGTTGTTGAGTAAAGTAGAGCTGTGCGGTTAACCGAAAAATTCGGTTCTTCCGGTACTTTTTTTAGCACCGAAAAATTTACGCAAAAGAACCGGAAGTTTCGGTTTTAATTTCCTTTTAACGCCCACCTGATTGCAGGTTGAAATGTTTGGAAAATAGCAAGATGTCGGGCGAACAAAACACTTCAGTGCCTTCAGTCCAGTCGAAATCGGACGAAAAGAGTCCCGTTTGGAAATATTTTAGGAAAGACGATAAGAAACAAAAGTTTGCAGTGTGTAGGTTGTGCCAGAAAGCAATCAGCGCGGAATATGGTAATACTACAAATCTGCGAAAACACATACAAAATAAGCACAAGCTGGCTTTCGCTGAGCTATGCAAGTTGGCGGCGTCTCGCCCTTCGAAAAGACCAAGACCACAAACTACGCAATGTGGAGAGATTGATGAGTCATCATCAACATCTAAACATAAGAAAATTGATCAATATTTGAAAGAAAAAAAGTGGTTGCCAACTGACAAACAACAGAAAGATTGTACTGCGAAACTAGCACGAATGATATGCTTAGATCTACAACCAATTAGCATTGTCGAAGACAAAGGTTTTAAAGACTTTGTCAGTTGCTTACAGCCTTCATACAATATACCTGATCGGCGGGTCTTACGTAATAGCATCATACCTGATCTTTATATGAGCCAAAAGTCCGATCTTCAGCGAAAATTGAATGAAATCGATTCATTTGCGATAACATTGGACCATTGGACATCAACAGCCCAAGACGCATATATGGCAGTTACTGCCCACTTTCTTTCTGAGGACTTTACTATTAATGATTATTGCCTTAATGTTCGCCATATGCCTCAATCGCACGATGCAAAAAAATTTCTGATGAACTCTGTTCATGCCTTGAAGAATGGATTCCTGACTATGAGGAAAAGTTGGTGAAAATTTATACAGTTACCGACAACGCAGCTAACGTGAAAGCTGCTATGCGACGCCTCTCCCCTGAAAAGTTCAAGTCAATGTATTGCTTTGCACATGTCAATGTATTGCTTTGAATGACGCTGTAGAAGCATTTCCAGAATTTCGCAGAGTCATTAAAAAGGCCAAAGTAATTGTCAATCACTTTCACAAAAGTGCCAAGGATTCACATAAGCTAACTGAAATACAAAAGAAATTGAACATTAAACAGCATAAACTGAAAAATGAAAGTCCAACGCGATGGAATTCATTGTACTACCTGATGGATAGAATTGTTGAACAGCGGGAGGCTATAACTGTTGTTTTGGCCTCAAATGACAAAGTTAACAACCTGCAAAATCATGAGTGGAAGACGGCGGAGAATTATGTGAAAGTTCTCAAGCCCTTTGAAGATGTGACTTCCATGATGTCAGCCTCCAGATATCCTACTTTGTCTATGGTTATTCCTGTATTAAATGTCCTAAAACAGCAAATGAATAAAAGTGAAATGAATGACTTTGGGGAACAAATTTGTGAAAACATAAAGGAACAATGGCCTGACTATGAAAGTAATCTTGATTTAGCTATTCCTGCTCTTTTGGATCCCAGGTTCAAAGAATATGCCTTTACCAATGATGAAGCTAAGGAATCTGCAGTTCAGGCAGTAGTTGATTTGATGTATGATAACAGTGTCAGTACTGTTGAATTAGAATCTATCTCGGATAAATCTTCCACTCAAGCAGCTTCCACAAGCTCTGAAACAGCCTCGAGTAATGTGTGGGGGGTATTCAAAAAAATGGTGGCGAAGAGGAAAGAGAGTTGTCTACAGGGTGATTCGAGGAAAGCGATGAAGCAAAATTTACAAAAGGAATTTTCTATTTTCTGTAATGATGATCTGTTGGAAGCAGATAAATCCCCATTTGATTGGTGGAAGAGAAACTGTACAAAATACCCAAATGTTTCAAAACTGGCTCAAACTTACCTTAGCATACCAGCCACATCTGTGTCAAGCGAGAGGTTATTTAGTAAGGCAGGATTAGTTATTACTCAAAGACGGTCATGTCTTTTCCAAACTTTGCTGAGCAGCTTGTGTTTCTTGGACACAATTTAAAACAATGACAGAAACTCATTGTGCTCTTTGTGCACAATATGCACTGTAGTGCTCAAATAGTTGATATTTTAGTTGTTAACTTACAAAGGTAAAAATTCGTGTATTTAGTAAAAAATACTAAAAATGCTCGAAACATAGCCATAAAAGGCATAAATGAGTTTATACTTTTGTATTCTTCTTTTTTTGAAAATAACCGAAACCGAACCGAACCGAGGTTTTTCTGTTCCAAAAAAACCGGAACCGGGATAAAATTTTTGGAACTGCACAGCTCTAGAGTAAAGAGCAATCGGGCATTGAGCAATTCATATTCGTCGGTTGATCAATTCATGCATGATTCGGCGTGTTTATCACGCTATGTGGTTCAAAAGGAAAATTATTCAAACTTGTACAAGTCAAAAGTTTCTATATTTCTTATAAAACGCAGGCACCATCACACAAACAAGTGAACTATATAAAGTTTTGCTCATTTCAATCGCCATGTTTGATAAAATATTGTTGTAAAATGCCAATACTTCATGTTATAACATGTGTAATGTATCAAAACATAAACAAACGCCGGGCACATGCGCAGAAGGGACTTATCCCCCCTTTAATAGTGCATTAGTGCACAATTTACTACAGAATTTACTATAATAGATTAGAATTGATATTTTATTCTTTCCTTGCCAGCACCCAACAGTTTGTATGTTTGTTATGTAAATTGAACGTGGCAAATTCAAAATTATATTTAATAACAAATTAATTAACAAAGATAAATATGATAGAAGAGAATTTGTATATTTAATTAGCTATTTCCCAAAGTCCTGGGTCTAGTCACACAAATGCCTTGTTGAAGGGACAAGAAATATGGCAGTACATGTTTAAATTAAAGTTTAATGTAAAAAGGAGATATTTAATTTTTGGTCATGTAAAAAGTTGATATTTGATAGTAGATACTTCTACTCTCACATATTTGATGCCTGTCTCAGTGCTTCCATAACCAAAATCGAGATTTCGTTTTTGGACGTTGAAAATTTCCTGATTTTTTCCCCGGATTTCCTGATATTTCCTTAAATTTCTAGCATAAAAGTAAACTTTTCGCGTTTTCGCGTTTTATTCACCATTAAGTCTTTTAGTAATTTTGTAACAGGAATATCAATGGCTAATGAAAATATCAAAGACCGTTTCAACTTTTTATCAAACCAACCAAGGCTGAAACTTCGGTATTACGGCTGGGGGGG